CCCTGCCGAACTAGGAAGCGAAGACGTACCGAAGCAAGGAAGTGAGCAACATTGCCAGATATAGAGCGCTCAAAAATTTTATCTGCTGTTGTTCTGCGGCTCAAATTTGTTTCATTTTTACGTTAAGTTTTATTTTTAACGACAGAGGGACGAGTCAAAACTGTCTTTTTCCATGTCCTTGTGACATGGAGATAGTAATGACACGTTAACACTATCTTTTTCCATATCCTTGCGACACGGAGATAGTAATGAAACGTTAACACTATCTTTTTCCATATCCTTGTGACATGGAGATAGTAATGACACGTTAACACTATTTTTTTCCATATCCTTGTGACACGGAGATAGTAATGAAACGTTAACACTATCTTTTTCCATATCCTTGTGACATGGAGATAGTAATGAAACGTTAACACTATCTTTTTCCATATCCTTGTGACATGGAGATAGTAATGACACGTTAACACTATTTTTTTCCATATCCTTGTGACACGGAGATAGTAATGAAACGTTAACACTATCTTTTTCCATATCCTTGTGACATGCAGATAGTAATGAAACGTTAACACTATCTTTTTCCATATCCTTGTGACATGGAGATAGTAATGACACGTTAACACTATCTTTTTCCATATCCTTGTGACATGGAGATAGTAATGAAACGTTAACACTATTTTTTTCCATGTCCTTGTGACATGGAGATAGTAATGAAACGTTAACACTATCTTTTTCCATATCCTTGTGACATGGAGATAGTAATGACACGTTAACACTATTTTTTTCCATACCCTCGGGACATGGAGATAGTGACGGTGAAAGGGGTTTTTGTACATTTTTTGGTACACCCTATTTTATTTTATTTTCAGTGTTCTTGGGAAAACACTGGCGAGGAGAGAGTCTTATGACTTTTTGTTGCTGTCAGCTTTGTTCCAGAAACCAACGGAAACCACGCGACGTGTGGATACGTTTTACGGTTTCAACAAGCGAACGACAGATCGATTTCACCGGCCCCCGTTTACGTTGTGTCCACTCCTTGGTTCTCGGCTATATCTTGAGTGAGTTTTCGACGAAGATCCATTCAAGTAAAAAGACGGAATCAAGATACTAACACGGTTGGCCACGCGACCAATTTTCCGTGATTGTTTGTCATTTTGCGACATTTTGTTATTTTTGCACCATCATCCAGCAAGCGCCTGATCCACGCGTGCGATGACGAACAGTGCATGAGTAAAATGAGTTACCAGTTTCCGTGACATCGGTAAACTGTTTTGTAGCCAAAATTTTTATTTTATTTTTTTATTTTTTTATTTTTTTTCCCAGGCATGGTATATTAAGCTATCAGTTTCAAACTGTTTTGTAGCTGAAACCATGTTTGCTATTCAACTGCGTGAACACAATCTGGGTATGGCCACCCTAGAATATATCTGAACGGAAGAAATTATTTTCTGTCAGAATCATGCAGGAGATAAAGCATCTTTTATTTTTAGTTTGATTTCTGTACTTTTGCTATGGACCACATCTTCAACTGAGCTTGACGAACTCGTGTTTTCTCAACACGGAAAATCTGACTCAGACACGGTTGAAGATGTTGCAACACAGTATGACAAAACTTCCAACACCTGTTTCCATGTATATCGTCCAAGGCCTCTAGGAACGCCAAAATACATCCTTAGCAAAGATGAATTTGTGGCGCATAAAGGGGGGGGTGATGTGGATGACAGGTGTAGAAGTGCTGTAACCATTGTTGTTGCACATACCAAAGTAGGACCAAGATACGATCCGAACGGAGGATCTTACTGATGGTTGATCAGCAAGAGACCCGACTGTGGATGCGTCCCTCTTGGCGCCACCTGTGGAGCTTGGGAATCCGAGACCCTCGGGCTTGGTCTCCCTTGCCCCTTCGGCGGCACACTCTCCCTTGTCTCTCTCTTCTGAGACCCTCTCCTCTCTAAATCTCGACGAAGAGAACTGCCAGCCCTTAGTAGTGGGAAAAGACTACTGCGACCTGGGCCTCCCCCCCAACGAGGGAAGCCTGTGTCCTTATACATATATATATATATAGTGAGTGGTATATATTGAGGATGGATGGGGCCATCAAAGGTGAGTGGCATTTTGGGCATCTCACCCCCCCAATAGTGGCATTTCAAAACGCCGAAGCCTCCCTGTTTTTCACCGCAAGCTCTGTCCAAAGACGCAAGGGAGATTTTTTTGTAGAACGTTGGCAACATGTACGTCAAAGAGGACACATTTTGTGACAACGAGGTAGAGCTAGACAACACCGAAGATTCTGAGAGTGAGAGAGGTGGAGGGATGAAGGCGCCGCCATCGTTCGCGGAACTGTCTGGGATTTTTGGGCCTCTAGAAGAGTACGCGGAGTCGTGTGGCATTGGCGAGGCCAGGCATTTCCTCCGTAAGGCAAAGAAAGATGGCATTCTTCGCTGCACACGCCGCTAGACCGTCACTCAGTCAGTTGGTCATAGTGTAGTGGTATTGATTGGTCGGTTGACGCCTACAGGTAGGTGCAAAAAAAGCATCGCGACGGTTGGGATTGATGCGCCGGAGTAGGGAGTGTTCGGCGTTTCGAACTTGGTTGCTCCAGTTGGTTTCGGGTACATTGATGTGTTTCAACATGGATGCCTGTTTTGCTTGCGTTGAACCCCATCATGGATGGCCAGGACAAGACAATTTTTTTTTTGGTACTTTGTGCATTCCGCCGCAGGCACACAAAGGTAGGGTGTGATCCCTCTTATTACTCGGCAAGAAGCAAAGCGATTGCGGTTGACGTTCGATGTTGTTGGGACCCCAACGGCGATAGGCGAGAGAGAGACAGGTACTATTATACTGTAGACCAACAGAAGAAAGCGTCGAGAAGGCATTAATTAACTCTCGAGAAGACACTCCTCACTCTCGTCCCTGTGGCCCACCGCAGGCTGTACCGAACGGCGACATCCGATGTGCGCTCAGCAAAAACAAACATAACAAATATAGTCGCCGTTTCCGAACTCTGGAGACTCTCTTTCACCATTTGTGGTATGAAGTATGAAGTTACAAAAAAAAAAAAACATGATGACTATAGACTATAGACAGACTAACAGGCGCACTACGAAAAAACTATTTTATCTCAATACGCTTCCCGTCGCGATAGACAGACGCGCACCGCTACACGAACGACCAGGTGTCAAACCTCACTACACAAAAAAGATTGTGCTGCCATCAACCCCTTATCGCTCAAATTACGACTACGCAGCACACCCAAGGCAAGGCAGCAACACGCTTACGATGCTTTACCATCCATGCATACGCAGCAAGAAAAAAAAAAAAACGAAGGCGGACCGTCGGTTGTTGTGTGTATCTTCAACCTGCTGCCGTTGTTTTTCTTCATGGATATCGGCACAGAAAAAAAAATGAGGAATGCGCATCTCCTACGCGAGCACAGCGTGCAGCCCAAGCGCAGAGACGATAACCTTACTACGACCTTTGCAGCATATTCCGAGCATAACAGCAGCAACCGCATGTGTACAACGTTCACTCAGTCAGGAAGAAAATCACAAACGAAAAAAAAAAAGTTGTGGCGCGCAGCACGCAGGACCCTCTTTCGCTGTTCAACCGGCCGTTCCCATGCCGAAACAGGCAAGGAACAGCCAAGGCCGAGTCGTGTCGGCCACAGGAGGAGCAAGCTGCTCAAACTCGGGGAGAGGTCATGGTTGGCGATCGCCTACCGAACCATACTTGAGGCGCCACGAGGTTTGCACTGTAGCCCGAGATCAGCATTTGAGACCGGGTCGGGCCAGGGGTGGGGCATGCGAATGAAAGTTCCACCCACGGATATCGAACGATGAGACCTTTAGGGCTGGATCGCCTTTTGGGGACACTTTTTGTCCCCATCTGCTTCACCTGCTTTACCTCGCGAAGAATGGCATGATTGTCTCCTCCTTTGCACTACTCGACCAGGGGGGTGCGGGGTACACAGGGACGACTCTAGTCTAGTATGAATGCTTTGTAGAGTGGAGGAGTATGAGGGTAATGAACAGGTCGAATTGCGGGGCGATTGCGCCGCGGGTTCAACAGCGAAGTTACGCCGCGTCTGTCTACCATTGGGTGGAAAGCGCTACTAGGGGCAAGCGCGGAAGAAGTACCTAGCCCACCGTTGAAAGAAGGCACCGAGCAACCTAGGGCTTGAGTTAGAAGGTCTCGCTTTCCCTCTAGAGAAATATCTTGAAAACCTCCTTATCGTGCCCCGTTTACCACGCTCCCGCCAGTTGCTGTCTATAATCCCTAACAGATGTCCCCTCGTATGTCCCCTCGTAACGAGGGGACATTTGATAGGGATTATAGACAAGAGACGGCTCAAGTGGGAAGGCAGCTTTGCACTTGCACCCAGGGATGGAACTGTCTGCACCATCCAATCAGCAGGCGTCGTTCGCTCTTTTTCTTACATTTCAGAAATTTCGCAAGAACGCCGAATTTTCTGTGCGTGGTAAGGGAAATGGTGGTCGAGTAGATCATATTGTGCGGGGTGGAGAACCCTCACTCCGCGCAAGGGGGATGATCGCATCACGTTGTGTTAAATGGTCAAGCATCCTCAAGGCAGTTACACAGTGCTACAACCTGTCTCTGGAAGTGAAAGCACCAGAAAATAAATTAAGTCATACGCAGCTGTCATCCGTACGCAAGGAAGTAAGCACAAGATGCCGAGCACCCTTAGCAAGATGCAGCGCACCCTTCATGCGACTCGCCGAATACCTCACGGCGCTTCGCGCTTGGTGATGTGAGAGCCTGGTCCGGTGAGAACCGGGCGTGCTCCGTCCCGGCTTTGTAGGGATGCGAGGTCAATGGTCTAACGACTACGGCATGCACGACTATGAGTACCCCCCCCCCCCCCCCTCCCCTTGGCGCGTGGAGTGCCAGCATCACGTTCCTTTTCCGCTCTCAAATTAATGTGCCCCTGTTCTTGCTTTGTTGCGAGACGAGCGCACTGCTGTGCTTTCTTCGGCCGACCCTCAGTAGCGAGAGATGACGAGTTCCTCCTTGGTGTGCCCCCGCAGGAAGCGGTCCGTGACCTGCATGCACCCCCACAGGCAGAGAGACCTGAGGCCATCGCAAGAGTCCACCAGGTGCCCCAAGCCGTCCTCGGTGGCCGACCTGCAGAAGGATAGGTCCAGCGATTCCAACGATGACGAGCAGTATCTCGCAAGCGCCACCTGTTGCGCGTGCCGTTAGCAGTGGTGGTGAAGCACGGCCGGGGAGGCGGTGAAACTCAGTGCAGCCAAACGAATGGGTGCTTGATTTCGGCCACATTGAAACTGTGCGTCGGTTTTGAGGCGAGACACCGTTCCTACCCCCTCGTGCAGACACGCCTACACGTGGAGGGTAGGGTTTGGAGGGGGGTCTCCGGACACAAAAACGGAGCCCGCGAAACAAGCAGGAGTTCCAGGGAGAGAGCATGAAAATAACACAACCATAGACGCACCGGCAGGCAGATTGGGTTCGGGGTGCTCGAAACAGAATGGAGGGCAGAAACAGCAAGGGTTGTAAAAGCGGAACGGTTCTAACGGCGGACGGGCGGTGGCTCGAAAGAGCCACTCGATCGTGAACCGCGAAGACGGAGCTTGAAAACATTCCTACACGGGCACGTACACGCCCTTCCGTTAACGGAGCACAAAATAGTTCCGGACTTGAGTTGCTTGGAACATGGGATTCTACGTGCAACCAGGCCCGTGCTTGTGTGCTAGGTAGGATTGGACAAAGATACGGAGGGGAGCTGTGATGTTTTGGAGACAGAGGAGTTGAGGACAGCCAGGGCCTATGTACCACGTATGCCCAAAAAAGAAACCAGCATACAAACTTAGGGCGGTAAAAGTGTTGATATCGAAGGGAAAACGAGTTACAGTCGTCGCTGGACTAAGCGCTGCCGTAGGCGGCTTCAAGCGACGTGAAACCAAATCGCGACCTCTGTAGTCTTCACTACCGTGTCTCACCAGGCTCCTGTCTGTGATGAGAGCCAGTCCTTTAAGGTCCAGAGAGCGTAGGCTGCCAGAGCACGCGGCCGCCATCGCCTACATACGCAGCGGCGGAATCGAGAAAGAACAACGTGGCCGAGTGGAACGACAGAACGCACACACAGACGGGGAGAGGGAAGTTGGGGGAGGGAAGTTGGGGGAGGGAAGGGGCAGAGGTCGGTGTGGATAGCAGCGAGGTTGGTTCGTGGGTCGTCCGCGGGGAACGGAAACTGCCACACCCCCGCTCCTCGAAACTTCGACAGTATTCGCAACGATGACAGCGACACCAACAGGGCTCCGTGGCATGCAAACGTTCACGGCTGGAGACAACGTCCAGGGCCAAGCAAGATCTAGAGTGGATGATGATGATGATGATGATGATGATGGTCATGGATTTCTGAAAACGAAATCGTTTCACTTGATGGACACACTTTGCCCTCTCACCTCCACCGCCTTGTCGTCCACCTGCGCCAGCCCTCGGAGAGACACGCGCGTCAGCCTCGACTTGAGCATGGTGTGTCCTTTCCGTGCACCACCCCCATCGCCCCCGTCTTCGGCGGAAGCTGACCGTGGTACCGGGGCCACAGAGGCGGCTACCGCTGCACCTTTGCCCTTCCCCTTCCCCTTCCCCTTCCCCTTCCCTTTCCCCTTCCCGTTCAAAGCGCCCCCTTCGCCACTGCAGGCGGGGTTGATGCCGCCATCGTCTTGGGCGGTTGTAGCGCTTGGATTCTGCGCGAGGCGCCCCGTCGACGCCTCTGCAGAGCTCCCGCTGTACTGAAAAATCTGAAAGGAAGGGGGTGGTGTTGCGCGGAGGGGCAAAGCGGAGGACGGTGTGTTGACGGGATGTGACTATGCCCACTCTGGACGTTGTCTACTCCAAGGTGTAAAGAATTACGCCTTCCAAGGGGTAACCCCATCAGCGTTCGTTCGTACCCCAAGCAAGCACTGGGTAGGCCCCAAAAGCACGGCAGCGGCGGGTTGGGTGGGGGTAGGGTAGAACCGAGCAGAAGGGGCAGCGAGGCGGGGGCACGCTAGGGGCGACACGTGCCATCGCATGCTCTCAATGCCAACGTACCCCCCTAGCTGCGGTCCAAAAGCACTTGCAACGAGGGCGCAGGCCTACACAAGCACGCTCGAACAGGCGGGCGCACGCGACAGGCATCATTTCCCGTTGGGGCATCCTGCCTGCCTGCAGAGTAGGGGGGATCAAGCCCAAAACAGGGTTTCAATACGGGAAGGTCTCCGGCTAGAAGACCCGTCCCGCTGGAGGGATCAAGGTTCAGTATGAGGAACCCCCGGCTAGAAGCTACATCCAGGGGCCACCACTCGCGAGCAGGAGGGACGTGCCCACCGTTGCTGACACGCAAGTGTCCGGAAAGAACGCCCCTGACACACCCACAAAGCGGAATCCACCTCAGCAGCATTGCCACTTCTCGCGCCTGCATCGTTCCCACCTCTTGAATTGCACCACTCGTGAGGAGCGGACACAGGCCGAGGTTGAGCGACTCCAGGACCCCGCACCGCTCCCCTATGGCTTTGAGCGTGGCGTCGGTAAGGTCCGTGCAGTCCGAGATGTCAAGGTGGCGCAACCGTCCGCCGCACGCCTCCAAGATCTGGAGGGAACCCAGACGCGCCGGGATAAATGGGAGGAAAGGGGGTCAAGAGACACAACCATCTGGTTCAGGGTTAGCATGCGGTGGAAGAGACAGGCATGTGGACGGTGGTTGGGGGGTTAGGTTTGATTCCGTAAGTACTGCTGTTTTTCAGATGCACCCTACAGATGAGCGCTTCTCCTGGTCGTTGTGAAGTTGGGGGCATTACGCTTCACGGAAACCATACTCCCCGCAGAAAGCTACCAAGAAGTAAATAGTACCAGTAGTTTGTAGGGCCGAAAGAGAGAGAACCTGTCTCTGCCCCAACCCCCGGCTGTGGTAGAGACACTAAAATATTGACAATAAGACGAAATATTCGCTACCTGCACTTAGTGCACCTGCAGGAGGATTCCGTCTGTGAGCTTGATTACCCCGCTGAGAGAAAGCCTCTCTAGGCAGGCCATTCCCTTCAACGGCTCCAGCTCGTCGGGCCCGAGCTGGATGCAGTCCGTCTGACATCGCAATCGGAGTCGCGGGGACAGTAAGCAGGGGGCAAGGCACAGCAAACAAAGAGTTACCACCTCGTGAAGAGAGGAGAAAGCAGACGGTTGAGGCGATCTATGCATCAGGGGTTAAGGCTGAAACCACGCGCCTCCCCTCTCCGTGTAGACGTTGGGAGGATGCTATGCGGGATGGGAGAAAATGGATTGGTGGAGAGAGCAGGACGGTGATTCAAAACGTCCATGGCCGTAACGTTCGTCATAAACGCTCCCACATCCGTGGAGTCGAGACGAGGCCCCTTCTGGTGTCACCAGGGGAGGGAGGTCACCCCGTCCAGTATCGTAGAACCTCATAAAAGCAGCTCCCTTTGCCCAGGTAGACATGGACCCAAACCAGGTACGATACCACGGTAGGCCCACGTGCCCACGGGCAGACATTGACCCGAACCAATGACGATACTACCGTGAACCTAGAGCGAAACCATAGCCGCTCACACTTCAGGTAGCCATGCATACATCTGATCAATAGCGTTGGGGTGCAGCACCCGCCTTGCGTTCAACCGATGGACCCAACATGGATGTGCTGGCACGGGAACTGTAACGGGCGGACACACCGCTTATAGAGGCATCGAAAACCCGGGTTCGGGGGTGTCTCACAACACGCTAGAGAAAACGAACTCATCTATTCACTGCAAGGACTCCATTCAACACCTGTGGTAGCATCTCGAACGGGTACACATAATTTTTCTAAAGAAGCCCAGCACAAGGAACCACGCTGTTGCACTACTCACCAACGAGAGCGTCGTCAGCGCCATCCCGATGGGCCTTTCTTTGTCGACCATCTTCTCGAGGGCCTTGAGCGTAATGCGCGAGTTGGCGGAGAGCTCGAGCCCGGTGAGTCTCGGGCAGCAGCTCAGCAGCTCCAGCACGCCAGCGTCCGTCAGCTGGTACGTGCCTTTTCGGGACAACGTTCGCCGCCGGTTAGCGGGAGCAACACGGCGTGACAGCAGCGAAAGCGCGAGAGCTAGCTTTAAGCCATAGCGAGTGCTGCATATTTGGGCTTGAAGAGAGAGAGAAAGAGAAAATTAATGGGGGCGCTGCAGTGGTTTTTTCAGTGCGTAAGAAAGGCGAGATCTTCGGAGATCTCTGCAAATACCGAGAGCGGGGATGGCCAACAAAGGCACGCAGTGAACCTCCCACATCTCTGCGGTGTGCGTACAGAGCGGTCATCATTCCAAAGGAAAAACTGCTGCGTGCAAACGGTCGGGTGTTTCAGGGCATCCATGATCGAGGCCAAACTGACAACCCAGCTTAATGTCGAGCAGCATCGCTTGCACAACTTGCAAAGGATATTTAACAGGTGTTTACTTTGCTTGAACGGCAGGTTGAGCCACATTAGCGACGGAAAAAAACGCTGTCACAAACCGCACCCTGTTTGCACCGCAGGCTGAGTCACGACGATGAAATAATAACGCCTCCATAACCCATAACTTGCTGGATGGCACGTAGGGCCAGCGTGTTGGAAAAGCATCAGAACCAAATTCAATCTCACTCCCGGCAAGAAACACACACCCGCCTCACCCGCCAAGGACGCCATCTCCAACCTAGGAACTCCCCCGGCCTTCGTAAGGGCCTCCAGCGTGGCGTCTCCCACGCACCGGCCGCATGTGCCGAGCCTCAAGACCCTGAGGGTGCGTCGGCACTGCAGGATGGAGTTGCGCATTTGGTCGGGCTCGATGCGGCTGCAGTCTGGGAGGATGATCTCGGTAACCCCGGGTTCAGAAAGCCTCTGCAGGGCCTGCGCGGACGGGAGGAGATGGGGTGGGGGGGGGGTAAGCAATAATGCCCGGCTGAAAGCGCGAAGAGAGAAGCACAGGTATTTTTCTGCAAGCAGGGTACGACAAGCTGACTCCGACTTCACAGGCGATCTGCAGGGCCATGTTAGCAAGCGGTCTGGCGTTCTGTGCAACTTTGCGCCGGTACTTGATGAGAAACGGGGATATTTTAGGCCTAGCTAGTTGTAGACATTGCGAAGAAACGGGGCATTGTGGGCATGGTAGTAGACGCTGTCCTATAACCTGCTGCTGACAATCAAGCCTATTGTCCCGAAGATTTTGCGCCGAGTGCTCTACTGCGAACACCAAACAAAACACATCAACCGCTTTTTGCGCGAAAACCATTCATACCTCCGTGGTGAGCTTGAGCTGGCGGCACATGACCGCAGCCAGGTGGTTACGAACCTCGGGCGACACGTCCCTGCGAATGGAAGGAAGGTAGCTGGGTTCATTTTCGGCGTAGATACACAAGTTCGTCCTCTTTGGGTGGCATTTCGTTTAAGCGAGAAAAAGGTTGTGGATACTGTTTCAACGGCAGCATGCTAGAGATCCGAAAAAGAGTATAGTCAGGTGTGGTCGTCAAGTACGAACACCTTCGCCTAAATAGGACAAAAAATAAGGCGCATCCGCCCTGACAGAGACAACTCCTGCAAAAGCCAACCCGGAAGAGACCATGAGGACCAAGCCCAAGACAACAACACGGCCGTCCATGCTCCGTACAGACAAGTTCCTCACCACGTGCACGGAAACACAAATCGGCGCCTCTTCACCATACGAAGGAACCACTAGTACACGAGACCCGAGGCATGTCCACCAGCTGGTATATCGAACAACAGCAACAGCCCTTGCTGTAACACGGCCGGTACCGCCAGGAACTACGTCATGCACCACAACATCGACCCCAACTGTGGGTTGGACAAGCCCTTTCGGGGTCAGCGTGCAGCAGGCAAGGCTGAAAACACTCTTGTAGTTCTGCATAGGCGGGCAAGACTGCCGAGACATGAATGGACACGGTGGGAAGGGTACGTTTCTCTACTCGTACGTGTTGTGTTGGATTGGTCGCGCTTTGTGGCGTCACGTCTCACCCTAGAGACTCAATGTGGTCGAAGTTGTCCGCCAGAAGGTCGAGGCAAAGGCGAAACAACGAGGGGATGGTCCGCGATTTGCCACTTCTGCTCCCCTTCCCCGTGGGTTTCCAGTCCACCTGGACCAACGGGCCACGTGGAAGGTGTTTGCGAGGGAGGGGGGGGGGGGAGTGGTTGGTAAAATTGGGGGCACGTGGGGTGTGTTTGCGAGAGGGGGAGTTGGTTGGGGAAAAGTGTGGAGAGCGAGAGGTCGATGTCCAAACTAAGTCAATCATCCGACCGGCGAGAAATGGAAAAGTGGCACGCAGATACGTGATTGGTCAATCACGTGACTGCGTGCCACTTTTCCTTGTAAAGATGAAGAACAGTGAACTCATCACGTTCTTCACACTATTTGTTGGGCTTGATGCTTATCAATAACGTTTCAATCCCGTGACCAGCGCAGGGACGTGCGCGTGGGAGACGCCAGCATCAACACACGTCAAACCCTGTGAGTGACCGAAAGCCGTCCTGTCGCTAACAACACGAAACAACTCATATTGCTGTGTACCTTGATCGGGGGAGGCGTCTCGTCCCCCTCGTCGTCGCTGTCGCCGTCCTCGTCCGAAGCTGGCTGGGCCTTGCCGTTGACCCGAATAGATTCTCGGAGAGCGGCCGCCGCCTCGCGGTTGTCCATCAGCTACAGCAGGCGGTATGCACACGATACGGACGTTACGCGCCACATGATGTTGTTCGCGATGGGAAAAACACAGCAAGGTGTGTGGTCACCAACGAGAAATGCACGGGCAGGAGACGGCATCAAGATTTCGCACGCAGGGCAGCGACCACGAACAAGATTGTTTTTGGACCGAACGATTGACTTGGGCTTGAATGACGCAGGAACAAAGAACGTGGATTCACTTGGATAATGTGCCAGAAAATCAAAAGGCAGGGAATCCACATGTATCCCATCCCATATCCAAAATTTCGTTTCGGGGAGATTACTCGTATTGTAGAAAGACCGTAGAAGGCCAATTCCTGCCTGAGCGGTAGAGTAACAAACACAGACAACTGACGAGTCGCTTGTGTCGAGGCTCCGGGACTAACACCCCCTACTAGTAAAGAGCAGGTTTAATCGATTCAAGCGTTGGATTAAACAATAGTGCGAATAAGTTTGATCGCATGCCTCAGGGCCGGCGGTGTACGTGTACGCAGTAGTGTCTTGCACCACATACGCGATCAGGGACGCCTCTCCACTACGCACTCGTGTGCCGCCATCATTCTGCCAAATGCTGCCGAACGTGTCATCCTCTCAATGTCACGAACCCGGCGCAGAAGCAAAACCAAGCGTCACACCCACCCAATAAACCAACAGCAGCAACAATAACGCTACGACCCTCACACGTCGTGCTTCGGCGAAGGGACCAGGCCACAGCTCCTTCGGAGCATCACCGCCCTCTCCGGCTGAAGCAGCATCAGAGGCAGCGCCCCGTCGCCGTCCGCTCCCACCGCTGCCGCTACCGGCACCTCTCGCTGCCGCCCCTGCTCTGGCAGTGCCAGGGGCAGGTGGCTTGTCGGGACGGGCGAAGTGGGCTCCACGGGCACGCGCTACCTGAGACACCACAGTAGCGGGAAAAAAGCGCAGGGTAACGATGAGGAAATGTCGGCGGCGGCAGCGATACTATATGGGGCATCGTTCCCCTCAAGGCTGCCGTGGGTGAAGGAAAAAAACAACTGCGGCCGCCTGACCACCCCCAACCCTTAAGCTATGAACTTAAGAGGGATGGACACATCTTGCAGCTGGAGCCATGAATATAATATGCTAGAGTGGAGGTGAACGCAGGCAAGAGTAAAACAGTGTGAATTAATACTGGCGGCGGTATGAGTGTCGACGACTTCGCCACAGACCTGGGCAAACGCCTCCCTTCTGGAGTTCACCGTCCGCACGCCGTCAGCCGCTGCGTCCCCCCCGGTTCCCGCCCCCGCATTTTCCTCTTCCTCCTCCTCCTCCTCTTCCTCCTCCGCCATTCCAGCCACATCCGAAGAACCCACAACGGGTGTTACAGCGGTGCCGGAGGCGGCGGTGCTCCCGCTGACGGTTTCGTCTGCTGCTGCTGTGCGACGCTGAACCCCGTTGCTGCTGCTGGCGACCGCCGTGCCTTCTGGAGGAGGCGAGGGCGGGCTTTCCAGTGGAACGGGCGAGTGACCGGCGGAAGATGGGGAGTCCCTCGGGCCCTGCTTCCTTGACTGCATTGGTAGGGCCATGAAAGCGGGGGAGAGCGGGCAGAGACGGAGAAGGGGCGAGCGGGGGCATGCTTACTGATGCGTCGACGGAAAGGGCATTGGATCGGACGGCATGGGAGGATCTGCTCATCTCCCGTGTGGTTTGATTGCCTGAAGAACCAAGGATTCAGAGAAAAATTGGAGGATCTTCGGGCCTCAATGGCCTTAATTTCTTGAGGTTCCCCGTCCATATTTTTCAGGGTAACATTTCAGCCGCAGTGACAAGAAGCAGATCAGGTTTAACTGAAGTATATACAAAACATCGATGTAGCTGGGGGCGAAGTGACGCCGGGCTCTTCAAAGGCAGTATCTAGTTCAGGCGGGTCTACGTTCGTGCACAAAAAACACAGGGCCGAAAGGTACAGCATATATGGACGATCCCGCAGAACTACGTACAGCCAGCTGCGTACGAGAACCAAAATGCAAATTGGCGGCCTGCTGGCGCCCTTTTCGCGCGCAATTGGCCATAATTGGAAGTATTTTATTTCTGCGGCCGAAGCTCGCAATGCCCGCCGCTGTAGATTCGCGTACACTCGATCCCCAAATCTTGCACAGCGCCCAAACGCTTATCGCAGCACGATATATATCGTTCGAAATTGTTTTCATGATGGCACGGAGATGATATATGGTCTCGTTGAGAAAACATGCGAGGGGGATCACGTATTCGGGACACCGACGCCGAACAAGCCGTGTCGCGAGGGATGACGACATGCATTGGTCTTCCCGTAGAGCTCCCTATTTACTGCCAACACGGCAGTTTACATCAAGGGGCAATGTAGCTGAATACAACCAAAGATAGTCACGCACACCCACGCGGCGGTGGTTCAAAATCGAGAGGCACAACGCGGGGTTTTACGCATACAACCAGCGCTCGGGACACAAACTTACAGCCAGGCTCGGTTTGAAAGCCCAGCGGGGGCGCCAGCTTCAGATACTTCCACTTCGCGCTGCAGCTCGCATCGCCAACACAGTTCTAAGCACACACCATCATGATCATGGTGCCTTGCTTACCTTCGCTTCCTTGGTGCTGGCCTCTCGACCGGCCCTCCTGCTTCGCGGGCCGCCGTCAGCGGGGAGAGAAGAGACACCGCCGTCGCTCCCATTCAAACAACGCGGGCTCCTTCTGAGGGGGGCAGCAGCAGCTGGTGACGAACCTTCATCGCCGCCGGTGCGTCCCTTGCCCATGGAGATCCGCGACGAACGAGGCATGTTGAGTTGGGTCACAGATTTTTCCGAACACTCGGGAGGAGGCTTTGGCAGAGCAGGGAAAGAGAGGTGGGTGCCTGTGGGTGATGTTGACATGGCCACATGGCCGCGGAGCTGCGATAGCCAAAGCGGCGGGACTGGGCGAGACTGTCATGAAGCTGGAGTTATGCCTTCCCATCTGTTGTGCCCCGCGTGTGGGACGACTTGGGGACGACCGGACGGGACGACAAGGGACGAACAGACACCACACCGCCGACGAGCAGGCACAACATGACCACAGGATACATACAAGGTCTGGAGAGCGCCACAGACGGTGAGAATTTGGTGGGCATACGCCCTTGATCAGGGGTGAAGCTGCCAACCGAAGGATAGGTTGTGAGAGAGGATAGACTACTCGTCTAAGGTGTGTCTCCTAACAAAAAGTTGTTTTGTATGTTGAAGTATGCATTGTAGCGGGGTGAGAGCAGCTGCTGGTGCTGTGTTTCTGGATCTATACATGGAACGAAGACAGGACGCCGCGATTGTTCGTACCAGGTACTGTACAGCAGTAGCATACCGTACAAGGAATCGGGTGAACAAAAAGAGCTTTGATGCTGGCTCTTTTCCCATACTTTAGTCCTGTACGAGAAAGAAAACAACCTTCCCTCCAGGGTACCAAAGTTTGTATTCTACTTCAAGGTCCCTGGAACGGTACCAAAGTTGGAAACATGCACAAGCACAAGGCGCTACACGCTACACGCGAATGGCACAATGCATCTCTCTACATATCCTTTCACAGAGACACACATCAATAGCTCCACATACACAAAGCGGAGGGAAGCAAAGAGGGGCATTTCAAGCGCAACCAGGCCAGGATATGGTGGTACAGTATAGACTATGCTGCGTATTTTCTCCAAATTTGAAGATTGTACACTCCCAAGATCCAGCAGTCATCGACTCAGCAGCTGAGCATACTCCACAGCAGCAGCAGTATAGATGAGTCCACAGCAACACATACACTATCATCTAGCCCCACAAATACCCTCGCCCGAACCTAGGGAGCCACTGATGCAAAGGTAGGTGTGTGCTGGTGCTTGTGTGCTTGTGGGAATTTTGGGAAACCACAGGAGCTGTGATGAGCCGGCGGGGCTCACATTGGGGAGCGCAGTTGCCTTCTGGTGACGCGCCGCAAGAGTATTCTCTGCTTGTACTTGAGAGAGCGCGTGTTTGACTTCGATGTGCCCCCGCCCCCCAAAAAACACCCTCCTCTCCCCAACGCTTGAAATGCGATACACAGCACTTCGTACAGGGCTGCCGGGCAGTATGTGTACTTCCTGTCGCTGTTCTGGTGCGAGTTCGTGTGCTGGGGTTGAGGGGGCAACACAGACACGCACACGCATGCATGCACGCACACTCAACAGCAGTGGGAGCGCGGTGATCAGGGCGCAGCTGTCACGCAGCGCACCAAAAAAAACAGCAGTACCACCTACCTGCGAACAAGGGGAAGTTCGTTGGGTGACTGTCGTCCCACAGCCAATCACATGAAGCCGCCTTAAATCGGAAAATATTCGCCTGCAGGAAGTTTCCAGGAAACTTTCTTATCTCAAAATCTGTTTCCTTATCTCAGCAAATTTGGAACCCCACTCTGAAACTGTGTATTACGAAAAAAAAATGAAAATAAACAGCTATTGACTATCACCATACCACATGAAAGATTCCGCGAGCGTGAGGGAGAAACTTATCTCGGGCCCTGAGAAGGCTCCATTTCGGCGCTCTCGGCCGCTCACAGAGCCACATTTCCATCTCTCAGGGATCTTCCGGGCGCTTCTTGGTCATTCCGCTCCCTCTCTACGTATGTGTATGTACTCTATGCATTGTTTTTACTTCTCGCTCTGCGTCTGCCTCACTTGCTCGCGTCTGGCTCGGTCGCTCGCGGTTCCGGTCGTCACTCTGCTCCCCATCCACGACGCGTCGCATTCTGTGCAGCCCCCCCCCCCCCTCTCTCTCTGCTCTCACACACCACCAGTCTGTCTCTTGGTGCTCCCATGTCGGGTTATCGGTGCGTTGTAAAAAATCCGTGTTCTTCGCTTTGTTGTCATGCTTCTCCGCTCTCCCTTCATTCTCTCGCTGCGGCCGCTCATCTCATCGCAGTTGTGTGGCTAACGTACGTACGTTTGGCACACCACAGCAGTGCAACCATATTTATTTCAGCTCCGCGCTCCGCATGACATTTGAAACTCTGTATGCCGCGCTACAGCTTGCTGCTGCAACGCATACATACGGATATGTACTCAGTCAGTTGATGATTCACGATGAATCACGCGAGCAGACGCCGGGCGCACTTCTTGCGATGAGGTCGAGGTCTATTGAGCGGGGCGGCGAAAGCCGCCAGCTCTACCACACTCACTCACTCTCTGTTCACCAATGCCTATATATGTCAGTTTAATGTTTTGTCAGATACTCCGCCTATATGTATACTCTGTATGGCATGGATCGAGTACGCCTTGTTCTGCACCGATCCACCTTTATTCTTATTTTCAAAACTACATTTTTACTGGCACGAATGAATCTTGAGTACCGCTTATCATCGCGTATCTTGGAATCGATCCATCGAGCGGGGCGGCGAAAGCCGCCAGACCATTTCTAAGTCTTCAAGCCCTCTCACTTATCATTGTCACTGATCGTTGGAATATGCTGAAAATAGAGTAGTTTGGGCAGCTTGACGACTGATCTGTTCAAGGTCTACAAGTCTAACCTGCCCTACCGGCCGCACCGCGGCCACACATCAACCCTTCTATGACCCTGTCTTTGCCCACCATCCTGTCGCGGGCTGCCCTCATGACCTATAGGTGGAGATAGCTGTTGCGTCTACAGAAGTGCACTGTCTCATTTGGCTGCAGTTCTGTCTCTTTTCCCTCACTCTCTCTCCCTTCTTTAAAGCTAGACCCAAAGGGGTTAAGAATCTGTGTTTCTAACCTAACTGAGACTGACGCATTTTCATTGGTCAACCGGTTGGCGTGGTCGGTGCTAATAAACACACACATCCATGACGCCCCCTCAGCTCCCTGATCATGGCCTTCTGTTTTCAACCGCACAAAAGACTGGCTGCTTTTCATCCGTCGTCGTTTATCGCGGTCGATGCTAGTAAGAACAGTCATACATTTGCGTTGGCTGGTCGTTAGCGGTGGAGGCTGTTCGGGTGTTCATTCCCCTTCTGTTTCGAGGCGGCCGTTCGATTTTGAGAGTCTTGCATGTTCTTGGAAGCAGCTGTAAAACATTCTTTCCAGCACAGCAGTTGCGGGTACAAGATCGAAGAACACCTTGCTTGGTCACAGGTCACAGGTACCCATATAGACTGCAGTTTCGACGCACGTCTGTACACTCCGTGGTTGCGCTTGCGGCACGCTGGAGGAATAACAACACCCCCGCAGAAAAGTTTGAACCGCTGAGTAAAGTGGGTAGGCCATTCAAGTACGACTGCTGTAGCAATCTAACAGGTGGGACGCCGTTGTGGCTCGAATCGCTTCTGTCGGTCCCATTGGCCCTTTCTTCAACTCAGAACAACACCCGCCGCCTGCTTTTTTTTTTTTTTCTACTGCCATCGACTCCCACGTTTGTGCCGCTATGCTGCTGCTGCTGCTGTTTTTTGCTGCGGCTCGGGTGTTGGCTGCTCATGTTGCATTATTTCACCTTCTCGCTGGCTCTCACCCTTCGTGAGGCACAGGCATACACACGCTGTGGTACATAGCTAACAAGCACCCACGACCCGCAGCACAGCTGCACGGAGTCAGAACGTTGGACCGAACATAGAACGACGTTTTATAAACGTAGAACAAATAGTGACGACAAGTAGGTCTGCACCTAGTTCGCTGCCGACGTGAGTTCGTTTGTTTTCGAACTCTCCGGTCATCACCTGTTTGTTTGATTTGCTACCCCCCCGTCATGGGTGCAATACGTACATGTATGTATATATACTGCGTGATGGTTTGGCTGCGTGTGCGTACGTGTATCAGTCTTCCGTTGAAAGTTTGAAAAACACACTGCACACGCACGCTCCTGTCTGGCACGCAATTTTGCTTCTACTCTTTTGGGTGGGCTCTTCTTCTCTCCGGAATGTGCGACACTTCCACACCAGATAACGCTACGGTCACTTCCCTACATACTGTTTGCATGCTAAACGCGCGAATACAACGCTTCTCCGCGCGCCTGTGGCGAGGGTGTTTGCGTTTTCTGGGCGACAAAACGGCTCTGATGAATTTCAAGTTGTTTGGCGGCCTGGAATCCGCGGCGGTGGGAGACGAAGCATCCGAAAAAGGCAAAACAAAATGTTGCGGAGTGTGTAAGGAACGAAGAGTGCTTTCTCTCCTACAAAATATTTGCGTCGCTGTTTGCATGTTCTTGCATCACCCCCTGCCCCGGTGCTCTCTTTACCCCACTCCGGAGGGAAGCCTTGTAGTCAACACACTACGGGTCGATGCTACTAGTATCGTAGAGGGGCACCAGATAATGGCCTTTAGAGCCGCTTTCAGTTTTCAGCCGCACTGAAGTGACTTATTTTCGTTGGTCAGCCGGTTATCGCGGTCCGTGCTGATATTGAAAAACACGCACACAAGTGCACTTTTTTCCTGCTCTCGCTACATCGAAGGAGGGCAAGGAGGAGTGAGGTTTGGCTTCCCTCTTCACCATCAGGTTGTACGAGTAGGGCTTCACCAACATCTGTACCTCCCAAGATGCATCGGGTGCATGAGTGTCTTCCTTTCGCTGTCCAGGAGTGCTGTTGGGTTGCTCGAAATTGTTTGATCCGTGTATCGCCAGTGCCACAGCTGTGAGGTGTCCGTACCATATTCATATGAAGGGCTTACGCGACATTTCGGGCTGTGCAGTATGTGTGCTAAGGCGGGTATTGCAATAACGGAACATGACTGTCCCGCCTACAGCAACATCTCTGTGCTCAACAACATTGAAAACACGCGTATCGTGACAAATTCTGCCCACGACGCCAACGCCATATCTTAACCAGTTTATGGTTCATGTGGTGCTCTGTTGGCCCCGCGAAGCGCATGCCTTGTACTCTGAAATCAAACAGTTCGTCAATAGTGCCGGTCTGGCGCTATTGAAGGATTTTCAGGCCCGGCACTAGCACTATTCAGGCACTCTTCGCAATAGTGCTGGTGTCTGGTATATTGCCGCTGGATTTCCTGCGCACACCCCGGCTATATCTACATCTGAAGAACATAATACTTTCAGTTTCTTTGGCGCTTGCCTTGCCGCCGCCACGATGAGTATACCTACCGTATTCCTGATGTAGGCCGGAACGAGGACGGACGCAACTGTGCCCTGTTTGTCTGGCACTACTGAAGGTATAGCGCCATCAGCGACAATAGCACACACCTGTCAGTCCGTCGTCCCTTAATGACAGTGGTAATTTTTCGAGATATTGTGCGATTCGCGCCGCCGCCGAACGAAGATAATCGATTGTCTCCTTGTTGATCTCTGCTCAGCAACCTGTTGCGGCCAACCATCTAGAATTGAAGCGCCGGAAGAGGTGGCCAAAAAGCATAGATGGGTTGACTACGATAGACCGTGGGGGGGGAGATTTTGAGAGGGAGGGGTTGACGCCGATATGTCAAAAAGCGAGAATCGTTATATTTCCGAGAGGAGATCAACGCATACATTTGCATGCATGAACATACGGGCGATAACAACGTGAGAGAGCAGGGAAAACACATATATGTGTGTTGAGGTAGACTGCATGACATGTTGTTTCAGAAAAGCGCGAACCTCTGCTCTGTGTACATAACAACTCACGGATTTTATACTGCACAACACTTGCCGGCTGTTCTCGCGTGAAATCGCTCATTTTCGAGATCGGTTGGAAACCACCGCTTTATGACGCACAGTCTTTTCTTCTATAACCTTGCGTTTTTTACGGAGGAAACGTTTTGAAGGTTTCAAGGAACGAAACCTCATCACCCCTGGCATGTTGTACGTCAACCGGTCCGTCTAGGCAGAACAAGTGGTGGCGCGAAAGGGCAGAGCACAGAAGACGGCAATCCTTTGCAAGTTGGGCACTTCCAGCAGTTGTTGAATCTGCTGCTGTAGCTGGATTATGTGCGGATCGCTGCTGCTTAAGCCCGTGACGATGCGTTCATACTTGGATCTCCGCAGAGTTGTCCGCCGTCGAAAACCAAGAATTTCCCCTCCTACCGCCAATCGCAGTTGATCACCCAGACTCAAGATGTTAGTTGGTCACCAGACTCAACATGTTCCGTTGGTGCACAAAAGTGCAGCTCGAGGTTTGTTTAAAAACCTCGAGCTGCACTTTTGTGCACCAAGGTGACTATCTTGCGATAGGACCGGATGTATTTTGCCGTGATAATCGGACTGCTGTTAGTGTGGATACCTTCCCATGCGTTTCGGTTCACCGGGTACCAAGCGAATGCGCCCCAGTAAACATGCGTCCCGATGTTTAGTACCATCCTGTCACCTTGTTGTTCGCAGGGTTCAGCAATTCTCTTTCGCTCTTCAACGCTTCAGTCGAAGACTCTGAGCTGGCTGCACAGCCACGAATACACGCTTCCTCAATAGCACCAAGCCGGGGTTGGTGCCCACGAACCTACTCGCCAAAGGATGCCCCCAAAGGATTCCGACATTACGTTCAGAACACTTGGCGACGAACTGGTACAGTAGCGACCGATATTCGTAGACTTCCCTGACGAACGACAGGCATTTTTCCTCGCGCGGCAATATCAAGCAAGCAGTCGCAGTTACAGTAAGAGCAGCGGCCTGAGCCTAAGCCTGAGCCTCAGCTCTTTGGGCTTCCGAAAATTATTTTGGCCGTGGTTGAGAGCCCTCACGAATCTGCCCCCCACTCGACCGCGCTCCTCGTTTCTTAGGGTACATTCTTGTGAGACGCCAGTGGAAAGGAGTTCCCAATCACGTTTTCCATGTCCGCGGTTGCTTTGGGAAAGCGGTGGAGCGATGAGCATGTGTAAGACCTTACGCTACGCGGATTGCAGGTCGCCGTCGTTTCCGGCTTCGTGAAGGACTGTCGGGCCGTACAACGATCTTGCCTTGGCCTGTGCAACGCGTGTCGAGAAGGGGTTCCAGTGGAACGCATGCTTGTCGGCGAAGGGATACCGCAGACACGCCTGGCGATGGTCCTCCCAAATGCGGTTCAAGCACAGGAGGAGGCCGAAATTCCACGGACGCGAGTCCTGCAACCTCGCAGGGTACTCAGGTTGGAATGGACTTTCACTCATCGTGCAGCGCGGGTCAAGGCTGTCGACAAGGCTCCTGACTCTTCGGTGGATGATCCACGCGTGGGCAACGTGGACTTGAGGGATGTGCAATGGCCCGAAGGCGCCAAAGAAGTTGCCCTAATCGTATTCGACAAGGCGGTTGAAGGGGTGACGTGGCCGGTGGGTCTGGAGCGCTTATCATTCTATGCCCTCCGATCTGGGGGGCAGTCTAATTGCGTGCAAGATATTGGCTCTTTCAATCGTTCGCTTGTTGCGGCGAATTTTCCTTCGGGCCTGCGAGAGATCTTCCTTGGCGCCACTTTTGACCAGCCCATCGAAGACGTCGTTTGGCCGCAAGGGCTTGAGAGACTGTCCCTCCCTGCCTGCGATCACCCTATTGACAACGTGAGGTGGCCGCCGGCATTGAAGTCCTTGGAGTTTACCCCGCCGTGGCAGATCCGCCTTCGGGAAGACCCAAACACGTGTTTGGACGAGCTTGGATCCTTTTGGGACCGTTTCAACTGCGCTTTCACTACTTTGCCGGCGAGCCTTGAGACTCTTTGGCTTGGTGACAAGTTCAATCATTCCCTTGAGGGCGTCAACTGGCCGAGTGGGCTCGTCACTTTGGGGCTTGGTTGCAGGTTTGAGGGGCTGAAACGCGGTGTTTCGTGGCCTTCCAATCTTCGAAACCTGTACTTGGTGAGAGAGGTCGATTGGGTCGAGCGCCCCCCCTCCGGCTGCAATGTTACTATCGCGAAGGAAGATGACCCGGATGATGACCCCGGTTACCTCTACGATTTCGTACCTGAGATGGATGAAATGGACAGCTTCCGGGCCATGTACGAGGACATTTATATGTGACCGAGATACAGCGCACCTTTCATCTAGTGCTGAAAGTGGTGAAGGAGGGGGGGTTTCGTCGTACTAGCAAAAGTCAGCAATTGTCTCGGAACAAGTTCATAGAAAGGTTTCTACGCACGAGCAAGGAGTTACTATACCTCACTGTTCGTCTAGCTCCGTCTTGGGTTGCGGTCCTCTAGCGCATTGTTCCATGATCAAGTGCCCATTGATGCTGTGGCAACACGCGGCGAGCATTGTCAGTCGCCCCGGTAGTGTGTCCTCGAAAGCCTTGTAGTGGGGGGCGTCAGGGGTTCGAATCCCGGCGAAAGCGAGCTTTTCTTGCAAAGTGAGTTTTTCTCTCGCTTCCGTTCCTAGCCTGGGTGGAAAGCGCATGTATACAGTGGGAAGAAAGTGCTGAACTCTTCTCGTATAAGAATCGAACACAAAGCACCGTAGGAGAGTGGGTAGGGAACCTCAGGGAGGAGAACCCTCCTGTGTGACCATGGGTTGGAACAAGTGCGCGCAAGCGCTGTGAGCTATAGAAGCTGAAATCAAGCCATTAGACTGTGTAATCTAGGAGTTCAATTTCGGCTTCTTTATTCTTTAGAGCGCTGATGTGAAGTGAAACCCCCCCCAAAATATATATTGACGCCTCTCGATCGGTCTCAGCTCTTCTTCTCTGGGCCCGTCATACAATATCACACATCAGGTCCTGCCGCGATTAGTTCCTCCGGTGTTGTAACCCTGACGTTAACGTCTGGGCTATTGTACAGTTAATTGACTTTTTCAGGCACCTGAAGACTTCTTCGTGCTTTGGTCTGGTCGGCACGGAGGTCGAAATGGTTGCCGTGGGAGAACACACAAAAGCGCAAACGGGCCCTAGAAATTCGACCATGTAGACAGGGACGTGGCTGCTCTATGTAGGCCCGCATGATCGACTGTAGTAGTATCCGACGATCATATTGTAGACTAGAAGATCGATTGGGTGAAATGAAGTGCGTGATGTAAACTTCGTTGTGAAGCCCGTTCCAATCGAGGTGGTTTATCCATGAAATTGTGCGACCGATGGTCGATTCCCCCTCGTGCCTGCAAAGTGAGGGCCTCTTTTCCAAACTTTCGCAGCTCCCGCATATCATTCATGGAACCTATTCGAGGTAGACTACGCCTTGTCTATCGTACCACAGCGATCCACACATCCATGACGTCGAAACAAAAGCGTCAGGATTTCCTTTATGAACGCAGGCCCGGTGTGCGTGGTGAGCACACAGCACCGCAACATCACGAAAGGTGAAAGAGTTCAAGTTGGTCGAAACTTTGCCCCCTTGTTATCCTCTTGGATGTACACGGCGGCTTCTTCTCCAGTCGGAAATCCGTGGTAGAGGATACTGTTCAAACGGTTGTGAAATCCTCATGCAGGATTGGGAGAGTCTCCCCGCGGCGTGATAGTCAGTGTTTTGTCTGCCGCGGCGTCGCTGTTCGGCGGCGATGGCCAATGTTTTCATAAACAGCAGTTATGGATTCTAATACATTGACAGACGTGAGACGCTCGTGCTCTCTTCATCATGCATGTCAGTCCCACGCTCGAGTTTGCCGGGACGCTACTGTCCTGATCGCTGTGATTCATTCTGGCTGTGAGAGTCACTCTGGCTGCGAGTTACTTGTTAACAGGGATCATGCTGGTACAGCTGCTCGCGTTTGGCATCATTTTGCACGGTTGGCGAGTCCAATCGGGCAACGGAACATGCAGCAGCGTCCTCCCATCGATAGGCGGAACATACAGCAGCGTCCTTCCATCGATAGGCGGAAGACACTGGCGGATACTGAGACAATGACTTTAGCAATTGAACAGAAGCGGGCTGAAATTTGTGCCGCCTGCTTCACAGTGTTGGCTTTCCCCTGGCGCCAGTTGATATTTGATACTATGCGGGCAAAAAAGTGATGTCAAAATTGATCTTTTCATATGTGATAGGACGTGTTGGGTATACTCACATCTGTGATCTCTTGCGTTTGCGGATGACGGGCAAGGACGTCTTCGTAAGTGATAAGCCGTGTGTCAGGGTGTGAAATCGTTCCCGAAACTAATGTTTCAGCATCGACTTTCATTTGTTGTGTTCTTCGTTAGCCTCGATCGACCACCTAGGTACTTCCCTATTTGATCGTACCGGCTTTTACATAGCAATTGCAAGGCATATGGGGGGCGGGTGGTGTTTGTTGCCTGTGGCGTTACCTCCATCGGATCCCCTTCACATACTCCGCTTAACCTTCCACAACTCGCTTGCTCTCTAGTTACCGTTGCCGTTGTGAAGCGGGCTGCCAATTCTTGTGTTAAATCACATTCGACTATTTTGTTCCCTACCGTTTCCACCGTTTCTGCCCCCGCATCCCCGGTGTTTGCCATCGGGGTTGAGTTTTCGTCGCTTGGCAACGATGTTGTAAAACAAGACGATCACTTCGTGAGCTCGGAACCAGGTTTCCGTTTTTTTTTGCCTTTGGTGTTCTTTTTGCGGTAGTCATAATGGTGGTCGAGTAGATTATGTTGTGAGGGGTCGAGAACCCTCACTCCGGGCTAAGGGGATGATCTCACCACGTTGTGTTAAATTGGTCAAGCAATCTCAAGGCAGATACACAGTGCTCATAAGTGTATCTGAAAGCGGAAGCACCAGAAATATATTTAGTCATTTCCAGCTATCATCCGTATGCAAGGAAGTAAGCACAAGATGCCGAACACGCTTAGCACGATGTAGCGCACCCTTCATGCGACTCGCCGATTACCTCACGCTGCTTCGCGCTTGGTGATGTGAGAGCCTGGTCTGGTGAGAACCTAGCATGCTCCGTCCAGGCTCAATGGTCTAACGACCACGGCATGCACGACACCCCCCCCCGTGCCCGCCGTTTCTTCCACCCTGAGAGAGGCACTCGAGCATACAACGGGACACGGAGACCGTCCCGCGCTTCATTACGAAAGCCCATGAAACCTTTCCTCGATCCCCAGACTATGTACATCACTTCGTTTCAGGTTGGGGGTTCCGTCTGATCCATGATGTCATGGTCCTAGAAGCTGCCCTAGCCTTCGTTCATACCACTGTAGTATCGAAACCTTCAGATACCCACCTTCTTCATTGTTCCTGCAGAGCGCATTCTCCGGCCTGGTTGGGGCCCTGGGGGAACAGGTTCGTGAACCCGGCGACAGGTCCGTAGGGCACGTGAAAGATACTGCCTGCATTTCAAATCAGGCACCATTAGCCAGCGTTTTAATACCCGCCCTCCTACTCTTGAATACAAGTGATGTTGGGAATGCCAAGCTCTTCCATGTTTAGTCGTGTACACCCCCGACACTGCAGCATCGTGGTGCCCTGCAAGGCCAAGGCTTGACCAGCCGAGGGCAAGCCTTAAGCCCAAAGGAAACAAAAACAGAGGGTGGACCTACCTTTGAACGATGACGTGGAATCCATGGCCATACCCGCCAACTGCCAACAAATGATGGATGCAGAAGAACATGCTCTCTACGCCCAAACCGATCACCAATTTGTGCCATAAACCATTGTGCTGACTGGACAAGATGAAGATTCTAATCTAGATCAGAACGCTTGACGGCCATATGTTCCGTTGTTACACGTTTCCGCGATGGCTGCTTCAAAAATAAACCCAGCAAGTACGGCAACGCAGGTTTCGTACTTTCTGTTGCATTCGAGCATGGCACAGAAGGCTCCAGTATTGCATCGAAATCAAGCCAAGAGCAAACCTACCAATGACGAAACTTCTTGCTCAGACTGAAAGGCCTTACTACCAACACGTCTCGCGTGACAAATCATTGCTAGTTGCTGACACGACGGCCATTCAACCGCCTTTTCCACATTTACGCCTATACAGTTGGCGCCCGCAGTTAAGAAACGCTTATTTCAGGTCCAGCCTCGAATTCCTATTGTGGACTATAAACTCAGCGTATGTGGTTCAGTTTCTTATATATGTTATTTTTTAGAAGGTGCTTCTTGATGTCCCCGAGCTGGCTCGTCGACAGCTCTTTCTTGTTGATCTCTGAGGGTTACCAGCTTGGTCAAGCCCTCACGAGAGCTGGCGGAGAGCACCATCAAAGCCGTGTACAGCAGACAGCATGTCGTGGTTCGCAGCCTGTCCGGTGTGCTGTGCCAAAGCTTTAGCGCCAGCAGAGAGCGTGGCAGAGCCCGCAGGGGGCCGGAGGGGGCGCCGCAAAAAAAACACTTCCCCCTCGTCGTACAACTAATAATAATGCACTATGGGAGGGGGGGGTAGGGGGAGAGGGGGAAAGAGCGAGAGAGCTGTGGGGTTTGTTTCTTATTCGACACACTCCCCCGTAAACCCTCGTTTCTTATGTAGTAGGGCAGCGGTCGCCGCTGTGTTTCTTATTGAGACATTTCTTGTTGTGTGACCCAGATTGAGCTATGTTCTTAACCCTATTTTCTTGTTTTTCGTGAAAAAGTGAGCCTCAATTTCTTAACAAAATATTTCTTAACTGCGGGCGCCAACTGTAGACAAGGCACGCTCGTGCTCTCAATATTTCGTAGTCCTCCTGCTGGTCGTAGACCTCGAGTTAGTCCATATTCCCGTCACCCAAAAAGCCCATACAGATGGGAAAAATCGTCCAAATACTCCAGGTCATGGAACAATCATGTTCATTATCAACACCCCAAACAGCGCTCTCAGTGTAGAAATCCATCACGACGTTCACCCTGCAACCAGGGGGAACTCTGCTCAATCTATATCGTCTACCCAGCAGTTTTCAAAGATTCGAGGGCCACGAAACACTGTCGAGCCCTGTAAAAGTAGAACCAAGCCCCAAAGTGACAAGCCCACTCGGCCACTTAACGCCTTCAAGCGGCTGACAGAAGCTGTCGCCAAGCCAAAGAGTCTCAAGACTCGCCCGCAAAGTAGTGAAGGGAGAGTCGGAGACACCGACAAGATCAAGCTCGCGTAAACGCGTGCTCGGGATTTCCAGAAGGCGAATCCCCGACGGTGTTGAAAATTCCAAGGATTTCAGCGCCGGCGGCTACCTCACGTTGTCAATAGGCTGATTGCAGCCGCAGAGAGGCAGTCTCTCAGGTCTGTGCGGCCACACGATGTCTTCAATGGGCTGGTCAAAAGCTTGTCCAAGAAAGATCGCCCGCAGGCCTAAGGAAAATTCGCTCCAACAAGCGAACGATTGAAAGGGCCTCAACACGTGCAGTCAGAAGGCCCGAAGGAAAGTCGGAGCGCGCAGAATGAAAGGCGTTCCAAACCCACCGCCCTTCAACCGCCTCGTGGAACAGCAGCAGGTGAATCTCTTTGATGCCCTCAGGCCATTGCACCTCGCTCAAGCCCACGTTACCCACGCTTGGAGCACCCGCCGACGAGTCAGGAGCCTTGTCGGTGACCTTGACCCCCGCTATGTACGCGTTGAGTGAAAGTCCACTCCAACCTGGGTACCTTGCGAGGTTGCAGGACTCTCGATGGTGGGATTTCCGCCTCCTGCTGTCCTTGAACCACATTTGGGAGGACTATCCCCCTTCACTACCTTGCCGGCGAGCCTCGAGACTCTTTGGCTTGGCAATGTGTTCCGCCAGTCCCTTGAAGGCGTTATCTGGCCGAGTGGGCTTGCCACCTTGGGACTTGGTTGTTTTTTTACGGGGCTGAATCGCAGTGTTTCGTGGCCCCCGAATCTTCGAAACCTGTACTTGGTGAGAGAGATTGATCGGGTTGAGGACCCCCCCTCCGGCTGCAAGGTTACTATCGCGAAGGATGGCACCACGGACCGCCAGTCCTTCGGGCTCGGTTATTATGAGAGCCAGTCCTTCGGGCTCGGTGATTATGACATGCACGATGGTAGATGGAATGACTACTAAGTCGATTTCTAGGGCTAGTTTGGAAGGTGACCGAAACTTTGCGTGCTTTCGTCTAGTGCTGAACGCGGTAAAGTAGGTGGAATTGTGTTGGTAGTTCAGCATGGTATTACAAGCGAAACGTGCTGGTCGGAGGTTTTTTCAGTGTGAGCAAGGAGTTTCGTCACAGTTCGGTTTGTTCGTCGTGGATTGCGGTCCCGCATTGTTACATATTTGAATGCATAACTATGTATGCTGATGCCATACGTTTCGAGCTCATTTCCATCGCCGCCGTCAGATCGGCAAAAAATAATTCCTTTCTCTGTGCGTGTTACGTTGTTATATAACCCTACCGTTAACGTCTGGGCTCTCGCGCTCAGTCCGCTTGCTAGATAGATTTACGCAGCTCCGGTTCCGGCGGACGGGATGCCGTCCCCTCCGTCCCGGGGCTCCGTTCTGGTGTTAAGCTATTGCTCCAATACTCACAGCTCAAATTTCGTACGTAGGGAAATATTCCTGGCGGTGTCCCCACCGATTGCCGTATTCACTCCATATGCTCCCCTCTCCCGCTACGTAAAACCGAAAACCTCTACAAATTTTGAGAGGAAGCATACGAGCTTGAACATCCCTTTCGATTAACACTGTGCCCCTCATGGGTTTCGATTTTCGATGTTGTAGCGCGAGATCGAGGTGCTGATGAAGCCAGTTCACCAGTTCTTCTCCTACGCCATAAACACGTACTGTTGGAGTTTTTGATCTACGGCTCAAATTATTTTTACGGCGATTCCCTCGATATTTATGTAACCGCCTCAAACTTCGTTGATCCATATCCCTCACTCAGGTTGTTTCGTTTTGTGTGCGAACACCCATTCCCTTCCATACTACAGGACGGCGCTATATTTATTTATGAGCAGTCTGGCGTAGCCACAAGCCCAGAACATCGATGGAACTGCTCACGTTTGAAGAAGCCCGACAGTGCTTCACCGATAGCGTGTTGATTCCCCACCCTACACTGGTTCCGCGCCGAACAACGTGTCCTGTTATCTATGGCACAACTGAACAACGCAGATTGAGCGTGTGTGTTTGTGGCATGGTTCTGGACCTACGTAAGTCGTCACCACAACTTTCGGAATACACTTGACGCATCAGCCGGGGGCGCACGGGAGAAAGGTCGCACAGAGGGTTTGTACGGAAGCTTATTTTCTCTGCACTTTCCCTCCGCGCTGCGTGCCACACATTACAGAAGGATTCAGCGGTTGGAAGTCGAATATGCTGCGAACGCCAAAGGTGAACGGAGAGTAGTGAAAACGAAGCCTGCCCACTAATGAGTTCTGAGTCAAGATTAAATGAGGGCTTGTCGACTGTGCGGTACTTGCGGCAATCGAAACAAGCAAAAAATAAATTCGCTTCGAAGTACATGTATTCTACCTCGTATGTTTGAAGTGTTCTTCATTTTCATTTCGTTGGTGACGCCTCTGGAGAAGAGGAAACCACAGAAGTGCGTAGCAAGAAATTTATTTCGTCGTGCGCCCCTACGAACACATGACGCTGTCAAATTGTGTGACGATATACTCCTGAAAGCAAAACCCAGATTGTTTGACGCGCATAGATTCGAACACACGCTCCAGACATCAGGAGTTGCAAGGGTTCGAGGTGGATCACCCAGTCACTCTCTCCCGCCATGATGTGACTCCCCGTGGTAAATCGAAAGAACAGCTGTTGTACACCAACACATGGGAAAAAAATCTACGGTGAAGCCAATGTGATTTGATGGGTTTTCGGTGTTTCACGGCAAAATGGGAATGCCCCTGACGCATGAATGATTAATGTATCCATCTCTACGAACAATGACACCGCAAAAATCATTCCTGACAGAGTAAATTAGTCGCTGGTCAGTCTTCTCGGAGAGCCTGTGATCTCGAGTGCGTTCGCCTTATGGGGAACGTGTCTGCTCGTTGTTTGGTCCGCAGGTCGACTGCAGCACTCGCATATGTATGGACTATGAAATTGATTGGGTGAAATGAACTAACCGCCTGCCGTGAAACTACACGTGGAAGCCCGTTCCAATCTAGGTGTGAATTTTCGATGCCGTTGTGCAGCCCATGGTGGACACGCCGTCGTCCTGCCTGCGGTGAAGAACCTTTTCGTCAGCTTTTTCCCATGTTCCATTTGTCGCCATCTTCGAAAACGATACGCGTGAGGTTTCAACTACAGCTTGTTCTTCGAATTCACACATCATGATGTAGTCACAAGCGCGCCAGGACTTTCCCTGACATGAATGTCTTCCCCCTGTGAGTATCTGCAGCGGACATACAAGACCGCAATAACACAGGAGGGGTTACATAGTTCGCGTTATCTGCAGTCGAATCTCCATGATAAATGTTTTTGTTCGAACGGTGATAAAACCCTCATGCAGGATTCGGAGGGTTGCATGTAGATAATAGTGTAGGATATTGTTTTTTGCCTGCCGAGACGGTGGTGTTTGGCGGGGATGATTCACGTTTTCAGCAACATCACGTTCAGATTCACAATCATTAGCAGACGTGAGACGCTTCGTGTTGTGATGTATTTATCACGTTCATGTCACTTACTACACGCTCGAGTTTGGCGGGTGGCTACAGGGCTGATCGCCGCGATTCACTCCGACTGTGTGAGTCACTTATTGACAAAGGTTAATTCTGGTCAGCAACTTACTTTTGTTTTTCTTCCTCGACGATAAGACAATTACACAGCAGCGCCCGCGCATCGATATGCGAAAGAATCTGACGGATATGGAGATGACTGATTTCGTTAATTGAACAAGACATGTTTGAAATGTGTGCCAAAATTGTACTACTAACCCTAACCCTACATTCACATTTTTTTCTTTCCTCGCACCATCTGATACTTTTGATGCGGCTGTGCGGGAAAATACCCAACGACGAAATTTTTCAATCACTCCCATCGATAGGACTCGTCAGGTGGAGGCAATCTCTCTTTTGTGTAGGGCTGGCATGCAAGAACATCCAGAGCTGGCAAGCATTTCTTCAGGTGTGAAATCGCTCCTGGAACCAATGTTCCACCAACGTTCATATCCTGTTTCACTTGTCAACCCTCCGTCAACCATGCCGCAAACCCTACATATTTCCTGTTTTCACATGGCAGCTGCAAGGCATGGATGGGGGGGAGGAGGGTTTTGGGTATTGATTCCCTATGACATTGGCTCCATTTTGCTTCACATCCTCTGCTTCACTTTGCACAGCTCCCTCGCTCTGGTCACCCTACGTTCCCATACACATAAAAGGTTTTGTTGCCGAAGGCAATCAATTCTTCTGTCGAATTCGGTGTGTGCGGACGGGTCTTAGATTTTGGTCTCGGAAGTCGGTAACAGTTGGAAATCAAGCCTGAATCTGGTTTCGAAGGAACTGCTTGCGAAGATGGCATCTCTCTTCTCTTTGTTTGGAAGTTTTTCAAGAAGTCAAATATTGTGATGTCACGCACGTGGCCGTTTGCCCTGTATATTTCTGCTCACAACACGTTCAGACATACACCGAGGAGCTCCCGTGCTCCCGTGCAGCACCGGCGGACTACTTTACGATGCCGAACCTCCTTCCATTGTAGAAGCAAAACCATCGAACTGGAGACCTCTATGTACTGCACGCTTTCGTTGTCTAGCTGTGCGTGAGAATAATACGAAGTACGAAAGAGGGACTACACGGCTATACATCTATCGCTGGCATGTGGCTCCTGCTGTCACACTTTATTGGGCACCGCATCACATTCTCACTCACACCACCGCGGAAGCTTTTGGGTGCGCCCTTCCTCTGAGCTGTTTGCTTTCATCTCTGTTTGCCGGGTAGGCTGACCCTCAGGTAGCGTGCTGCGCAACGCGTGACCAATTCCCCTTCCGAGTGGCGTGTGTTGTCTGTCGTGTAAAAAAACGTCTAGGCGTGTCCTAACCATTCCACATGTTCAAGAATCAGACATGAAACAATGGTCTAACCATTGGAGGCGGAAAGACAAAGGCGTGGTACAGGAAGGAAGTAGTTGACGAGCGCACAGAGTTCACTGCTACGTACCAGTTAGAGCAGGAGGTGCCCCTCGTGGAACCCGCACCCTCTACTGTAGAGTGCTCTGGAAGGCCTGCATTCTAAGTTGCGGTCAACCATGAGTTAAGTTAGGACACGCCCTATCCTCTTCCATGCTGTGAATTCCGAGTTCCCTGCTCCATTATTGGTCCAGAGGGTAAAGACGCGCCCGGTTAATGTCAACACATATGCCCCGTTGTGTGGGGACGACATGCAAGAACGTCTTCGGAGCTTCCAAGCCGTTCCTTCAGGTATGGCATAGTTCCTGGAAGCATTCAATGTGTGAGACACGACTTCATACTTGCTTAATTCATTCGTCAACCATGCCACGAACCCTAGTTTCGGTTTCCATACGTGGCAATTGCAAAGCGTGTGGGGGGTGGAGAGCATCGCCTCCAATACATTCCCTTTCACATTTTCCACTTCACTTTCCACGGCTCCCTCGCTCTTCTGATTCACTTCCCCATCATCACCGTTTCCGTTGCAAAGCGGGCAATCAACTCCTTCTAGTCACAAGTATCCCTCCGACGCCCGCCGTGTCACCTTGAGAAAAGTAATATCGAGCAAACGCACGGAGTTTCCCCCATTCGTTGCCAAAGTCCATGAAGATGTACCTCCATATCCAGACTACATCACTTCGTTTTACAGTAGTTATTTCATTCCGTCCGATCCATGCTTTCATGGTCCTCGACGCTGCCTCGGTATTCATTCATACTACACGTCTCCAGATGTTGTCATCTACGACGACTATCAGAACGTTCATTAGGGCCCCACTCGTTCGCTTCTCCCGCAGGGCGCATTCTACCCGGCCCCGCCAAGCGGAACCGGGGGAGCAATCAGGCACCCCGATCCATCAACGTATCATTCTGCACCATTCCGCACTACAGGCAAGGCACGATATCATGTTCACATTGCATAGGAGCCGTCGTCGTCATCGCCGCCATCGAAACAGTCCTCGTACCCGTTATCTAAGTCCGGATCATAGAAATCATGGTCCAAATCGTCGAAACCATCACGTTCGGCATCGAAAGACTGGCTCTCCGTGTCGTAATCCTTCACGATGGTAACCATGCAGCTTTTGGGGTACTCTAGCCAATCCATCTCATTCACCAAGTATAGGTTTTGAAGATTCGGGGGCCACGACACACCGCCATTCAACCCTGTAAAACGTGATCCCAGCCCCAACGTGACAAGCCCACTCGGCCAGTTCACGCCTTCAAGGGACTGGCAGAAGTTATTGCCAAGCCAAAGAGCCTCCAGGCTCGCTGGTAAATTAGTGAAGGGGGAGTTGAAACGGTCCCGATGGGGCTCAAGCACGTCCAAACGCGTGTTTGGGTCTTCGCGTAGGCAGATCTGCGACGGAGGTGAAAATTCCAAGGACTTCAACGCCGGCGGCCACCTCACGTTGTCAATAGGTTGATTGCAGCCCGGGAACGACAGTCTCTCGAGCCCGCTGGGCCACACCACGTCTTCGATGGGCTGGTCAAAAGCATCCCCAAGGAAGATCTCTCGCAGGTCGGAAGGAAAATTTGCTCCAACAAGCGAACGATTGAAAGAGCCTCTATTTGCGAAGCCGGAAGACCCGTAGCTAAGCCGGAGCGCGCAGAAAGAGAGGCGTTCCAGACCCGCCGGCCACGCCACCCCCTCAATGTCCCCGTCAAACAGCAGCAGGTTGACCTCTTTGATGCCCTCGGGCCATTGCACCTCGCTCAAGTCCACGTTCCCCACGCTTGAAGCACCCGCCCAAGAGTTGGGAGTCTCTTCGGTAGTCTCAGTCCACCATGCACGGCTACGGAAAGTCCACTTCAACCTGAGCACCCTGCGAGGTTGCAGGACTCTCGTTGGTGGGATATCGGCCTGCCGCTGCGCTTGAACCACATTTGGGAGGACCGTCGCCAGGCGTATCTGCGGCACCCCTTCGCCGATAAGCATGCGCTCCACTGGAACCCCTTCTCGACACGCGTTGCACAGGCCGAGGCACGATTCTTGTGTGGCCCGATAATCCTTCACGAAGCCGGAAACGACCGCGAACTGTAATGCGCGTAAAGCGCGGTCTCGCATGTGCTCCTCACCCGGGCATTCTTCCACAGCAACCGCCGCCATGGAACTTGTGGTTGGGAACTGCTTTCCACAGGCGTCTCACTAGAATGCCCCAGTACCTTGTGACCTGAGAACAGACGAGGGGGGTTGGAGGGGTAGTTTTGACGTGAGGGCCCTTGATGTGCGTCAAAACCAACTTGTCGGGAGTCCGATCAGTTCCGCTCGGGCGGCTCGGCTGGGACACCGACTACTTGCTTCAATTGGCCTCCCGGGGAAATAGTGCATAATTTTCGTTCGTGTCCGTATGGAAGTCTCTCTTGTGGTATATAGCAGTTTCGTTGCCAACGTGTGCTGAACGTACTCGTGAGCACATGCGTGCCTGACGCTGTTCAGGAAGCGCTAATCCATGGGTGTGCACAGCTCAGAGCATTCGAGTGATGATGCGTTGAAGAGCGAAAGAAGTCTGCTGAACCCTGCTCAAAAGGCTTTCGCCGAAGACAGCGGAAGTCGGCTTTCGACCGCGGATCGTTGTTCCTCAGCTAAGAACTGAGACTGTGCGGTAGGCATCCCCTGCGAGTAAAGGTGTCAATTGGGCAACATGTTTGCTCGGGTGGGGTGAATTGCAATCAGCTGAATCGAAACGTATGGTCGTGCTCCTCTAACTTGTACAGTTGTGCCGTTTTCGTTGAAACGACTTCAAGCCCTCTGAACAAGAAAACGACCCTGTTGCAAAAATAAACTGACCGCCCGACTTATACAAAGACATTAAAATATGTAGCGTGTTCAGCATCGGGGACGAGTACCATCTACAGCGGAGGGCCCGCGAAGCATATCGGTGAAAAGTAGTTTGCTTTCCGATCGACCTGCGGACTGAACCCTCGTCCGCCGATAGAGGTCCGCCGATCCGAGATAATGCGGGTCGTTTCGACCTTAACCGATAGTTCTCCGCGCTTGAAGGGGCTACCGCAGCAATTCTCAAACACCAGCGGTGAACGTTCCAATTCCCATGGATGTTATCGCAAAAAATCCCATAGGCGCAAGACATGCATCGTGTTGCCGCTTTGACGTCCCCCTCCAGGCTCACCCTGTTAATCGTTGTGCAGCGGTAATGATGGTGGCGACACTGGTGTAGGAAGCAACTTCTAGGGCAGCGCATTAATCTGTGTTCCCACGGCTCTCAGCTGTTGTCGCGCAAGCTCTCTTCCGGCCCAAAGTGACCGGTGGCTGCTGAGACATGGCCGAACACGAACCTCGGCGGTGTCGTGAATAAGTGTCGAAAATAAGCACATTTTTCCGACACCGCGCGAAACTCTTCCAAAACACCGCCAAACGTCACGATCCCAACTGTGTCGTGTTCTCAAGATTCTCAGCTGTCGTGCAAGCCCTCTTTCGGCCCCAATTCGAACAGTATGCCTTCTTACGACACCGCGCGAAACTCTTTGACAACACCTCCAATGGGCACGAAACCTGCTGGAAGAACCGCGTTGGCATTTGCGGCCGCTGCAGCTGCTGCCGAGGAGGGGTCAATATGCCAAGGCAAGGTGAGCCCACACGCTTCTGGTGGAATAATACGAACTCGCCTCTATGGTCAACAGATCGATCACCGTCCTGACAATTGAAGTTTCATATCGTGGTATGGCGTGTGAGTCCATCCGGTGTTGGCCCCATTCTGAAGCCAGGATGAAAAGCTGGGAACGAGAGGGTGTGGAAGGCGGGACATGTGATTTTCCTCGCTTGCTATGCCGCCGAACCTGCTATGAAATTATGGCCAGAAGGAATGAAATTGTCACGCAGGTTGCGTTGAGCCCTGAGTTTTCACTTATCGGTACCATCTTACACTGGATTGTCACGTTTTCGGCGTATTTTCAATTCTTCAACAGTGTCGTTGAAAAAAAAAGCAGGGAATTTGATTTCAGGTGCATAGGGGTTCCCTCGACGAGGAACCCACTTCGAAGCCCGTAGTGAAACAAGTCAAGGCAACGACGCCCCGCGGGTTCGTACATACTTCTGATGCGATCCAACTTGGGAGACGTATGTCGACTCGGTTTCACACCAGGACTTGGGACACAGAAAACCCTGGATATGAACGTCATGGGCAAGAAAGAAGGAGTAACACTTGTCACGTATTGTTTTGAAAGCGAAACAGATCTTTGGCAAAGATGTCCCGTGTTGGTGGTGGTATATTCTGACGCGCTTGCAATTCATCGGGGGAGACATGTGTGCGCGGGAGTCGGGACTCGGCTTCACATCGGGGTCTGGGACACAGAAACCCTTGGATGTTATTGTGATGGACACTAAGGTGAAGTTCGTCACGTAGATCACGACAGTGAAAACGATTGTTGAGGGAGTAGGGACTCGGTTGCACACAGGGACTTGGGACATCGAAAACCCTGGTAATGAAGGAATGAACTTCGTGATACCCGTTTCAGTAGAGCCTTCTTCAACGATCCATACCAATTTCCGTTGGGGTATCACAATATTCTCGCGTAAAACTAAAGTAGTGTACAGGGTGTGAAATTTTCGCATGCAATTCTTCAACAGCGCCGTGTTACTGCAACCGCCGAGATGTGTTTCAGATGTATAACGGTTCCCTTGACGAGGAAGCCTCGTCAACTATCGACGACCCACGATTTCACGCCTCTGATGAGATCCAACCAGGGAGACATGAGTATCGGAGTAGGGACTCGGCGTCACACCGGGACTTGTGACATCGAAAACCCTGGCTATGGAACTATTTACAAGATCAACGTGGATGGTGAACTCGATCCCGCCCCGTACGATTCGGCAATGGATTACAGTTGTGGCATGCAGACGGTGCCTGCTGGTCTCGTCGACGCAGAAGTAGCGCATTCCAGTTCTCGAATACGGCACTTAAAACAAAACAACCACCAAACCGACAGGAGGAAAGGGTGGGCAGCGGGAAGAATCGGGGGGAAAGCACAACGGATTATTGTGAAGATATCGCCAACGATGACCCTGAGAGGACATACGAGAGTGGGAGCGAGGGCAGACAGAAAAAGAGAGTGGAGAGGGGGCGAAGCGGGGGTAGCAGCGACAAGGAGCAGGAATACCACAGTGACGACTACGCGGAGAAGGATACGAGAAGCAGCGACGAACGGGAAGATGGCGAGAGTGACGCCTAATCGGACAGCTGGGGGCCGCGGGAACATAACGCAGTTGGGTTCGTGCCCATTATTATTTTTTTCGAAGCTAAAGTACGTCTCCGCGAAGGTGTTGCCATGACATCGTGTTGGGCCATATCTCAGCACCCATATGCTGGTTTGGGTCGAACGCGGGATTGTGCGCAGCTGAGAGCCGCGGGAACACGGAACTGTGGTTTCGAAGCATTTGTTGCGGTGTCGCAGAAAACTTTGACCTCACCGGTCAGACCATGGGGAGATGTGACCCATGTACGGTTAATCTCCAACTTGCCCACCCACCCCTCTTTAGGAGCCTTGTTCATTTTGTTAGGCAAGCAAACGGCTTCTAGTGGTAACGGGAACCCGACCCGCTGATGGCGAGTCAATCCTTTACAATTTGTTTATTGCTAGCTGGCGCACCACGTTCGCCAAGTCACCACGTCTCGCACAAGTTCTCATCATGATTTTCATTTGTCGCCAACAATATTCTTGTGGGAGGCGGAATCGCGCCCCGGGTCTTTTGCACGAAGATCAAATGTAGCACCGCCACGCCCTAGGGAAAAGAGGGAATCGTCCTCGACAGACGTCGTGGAGATGTGATCCTCAATGAAACCATCTACACATAACCGCTGAACCCAGAACGTCATGTTTCTTACCATAACTTGTCAGGCCCTTTCGGACGTAACATGCTTTTAACACGAAATAAAACTTCCGTTTTCGGCATTAGCACGCCGCGTGCACTCTAGACGGGACGGCGCGTCCTCTTTTCAGAACGCCTGCAGAGGGCACGTGTATCGTTTCGCGCTGCTGGCGGCTACTTGTGGCGATGACCGACCAGCTAACTCTCTTTTTAATAACGCTTGGCACGTCACGCATGACGCACTCGCAAACTGATCCGAGTTGGCTGCAGAGCACAAAATTGTCACCTGCAACCTGTTTCAATTGACGTTCGCAGCCCCCAGCCGTGTATTTTTTTAATGCGACGCCTGCTGAAGACAGTGTGCGCCACAATATTGCGCCATCAGTTTTCACACACACACACACAAGAGAGCAAGAGCTTCGAGCCAGATGACCTTCACCACAACAAAAGAGGCAGGGTCAGAGAAGAACTGCTGAAAAGCTGCTGTAAAAATGATTATGAGAATGATGGTGGTGAAAGCACGGAGGATGATGGTGAAAGCACTCCAAAACGAACTCGAGTGCAAGGTAGCAGACAAGGGCGACGCGTGTAGTTTTCTTCTGTTGCTACCGTTTCTGTCTTTCACCCGGAGAATAGCTTAGCCTCCGTCATGCCGCCCTCTCACGGGGCCTAATGGCCTTCAGAAGTATTTCGTGTTTTCAACCGCACTGAGACTGGCGTCATTTCATTGGTCACCCGGTTAGCGCGGTCGATGCTAGTAAAAACACACGCAAACACACACATACGATGTTCTCTCCCAAAGTACTAACCACAAAAAAACTGCCCACATTGAACCCGTCAGTATGATACTGGCGCTTTCTGACAGAAATCGTTGCCGGCAAGATACACTTTCTTGACTGCATGTCCAACCGCTTGAAATGACGGTCCAACTTCGTGACAGCCTTCGAAACCGTTTCCGGGGACAGCCTTGAAACTACCGGAGGCCGCACGCCTCCATGGACGTAGTACCGTGCGACTGCGCGCAAAGAAAGAGCGAAAGAGCGCACCTTGGACTCTACTCTGTCGGGTATTCCGCCAAAGTTTCCGTCCTCTTCACCAGGGTGAGTGCTCGC